CCAGCAATTGCACTACTGGGTATTTACCCCAAAGATACAAATGTAGTGATCCGAAGGGGCACGTGCACCCCAATGTTTATAGCAGCAATGTCCACAATAGCCAAATTATGGAGAGAGCCTAGATGTCCATCGACAGATGAATGGATAAAGATGTGGTATATACGTACAATGGAATATTAGGCAGCATCAGAAAATGAAATCTTGCCATTTGCAACGACATGGATAGAACTAGAGGGTATTAAAAAAAAAAAAAGAACTAGAGGGTATTATGCTAAGTGAAATAAGTCAATCAGAGAAAGACAAGTATCATATGATCTCACTGATATGTAGAATTTGAGAAACAAGGCAGAGGATCATAGGGGAAGAGAGGAAAAACATGAAACAAGACAAAATCAGAGAGGGAGACAAACCGTAAGAGACTCTTAATCTCGAGAAACAAACTGAGGGCTGCTGGAGTGGAGGGCGGTGGGAGGGACGCGGTGGCTGGGTGATGGACATTGGGGAGGGTATGTGCTATGGTGAGTGCTGTGAATTGTATTAAGACTGATGAATCAGACTTGTACCCCCCCGAAACAAATAATACATTGTATGTTTAAAAAAAAAAAAAAAAAACCACCATAATATTAAAGAAGGACAAAGCTGGAGAATTCACCCTAGATAGTTATTAAGATCTATTTTTAAACTTTTTATTTTTATGTATTTTATTATTTTTTATCATGAATATGCTTCTAACATACAGTGTTAGATGCAGTTGTACAATATAGTGATTCAACAATTAAAAAAAAAAACCCAAAACAATTCTATACATTACTCAGTGCTTATCACAGTCAGTGTACTCTTTTTTTTTTCGTTGTGGGACTTTTTAAAAACTTAATTACTTTTTAAATTCCAGTATAACCAATGTACAGTGTTATATTCGTTGCAGGTGTACAATATAGTGTTTCAACAATTCTATGCATTACTCAGTGCTCAAATAAGTGTACTCTTAATCCTCTTCACCTATTTCCCCCATCCCCCCACTTACCTGCTCTCTGGTAACCATCAGTTTGTTCTCTATAGTTAAAGAGTCTGTTTTTCTTTGTCTCTTCTTTTCTTTGTTCATTTTGTTTCTTAAATTTTTTATTTAAAAAATAAATAAATAAAGGAAGTTCCCTTTAATAAAGGTAAGTGCAATCTCCACCCTGAAATGCTCAAATGATGGAAAGGTAGTTAGTGCCTTGGTGGTCTTTAGGTCAAAACACACACACAGTTTTTCTGTTTTACTGCTAAACATTTTACGTAAATACATGTGTCTTTGAGCATGTGTTTAATGCTCCAGCATATTTGGATATGGAAATGCTGGGCAGAAGGATAAAAGCCGTTTATTTTCAATAAACGGTGAAGAGGTTTTTAAGAGTACACTATTATGATGAACACTGAGTAATGTACAGAATTGTTGAGTCACTGTATTGTACACTTGAAATGAATGTAACACTGTATGTTAACTCTACTAGAATTAAAATAAATAAATAAAATGCCATTTATTTTGTTAAAATAAAAACAAATATAAATAGGGGCACTTCGGAGCACCTGGGCGGCTCAATCAGTTAAGCGTCCAACTCTTGATCTCAGCTTGAGTCTTGATCTTAGGGTTGTGAGTTCAAGCCCCAAGTATGGGGGGAAAAAAAAAAGGGGGGGGGTGTCTGGGTGGTGTAGTCAGTTAAGTGTCTTACCCTTGGTTTCGGCTCAGGTCGTGATCTCAGTCGTGAGTTCGAGCCCCAAGGTGGGCTCCACACTCAGCATGGAGTCTGCTTGAGATTCTCTCTCCCTTTGCCCCTCCCACTCGTGGTCTCTTTCTCTCTCAAATAAAT